ACGAAAATGTAACCTACTTCAGGAATTTTTCAGTTATTCCTTTAAAAATGAAACATCGGTAGCTACATACACCACAGATCTCCAAAACTTGGTGTGTAAATTAAGAAGTTTGAGTTATGAAGTGGATGATGCAATGCTGATATCAAAAATATTATCGTCACTTCCTGATAAGTTCAAACATTTTGTGAGTGCATGGGACTCGGCAAATAAAACTGAAAAAACTAACAAACCTAATATCAAGATTGCTAATGGAAGAAACAAGACTAAAACCGAAAGAAACCGAAAATGATGTAGCTTTTAAGACAGAAAAAAGTAATAATCTAAAATGGGCTGAGAAAAAGTGTTTTAACTGTAATAAACCAGGACATTTTTCTCGAGATTGTAAATTTTCGAAACAACCACAATGTGGTATATGCAAGAAAACAAATCATGCTGAAAAAAATTGTTTCTTCAAAAATAAAAATGGGAATTCTTTGGGAAGTTCTCAAATTAAATCAAACAAAAATAAAACCGAACAGAAGAAAGAAAAACTAGTATCATTTCTTGCTAAGAACGACCATAATGATGAAAAAATAAATTCATTCATTGTAGATTCTGGCTCTTCATCGCATTTGATTAATTCAAAAGAATTTCTCTTAGACATAGAAAATATAAACAAAAGTATTGGTATTGCTAAAGAAGGAGAGTTTATGATAGGAACTAAAATTGGTAAAATTATGGGAGAAGATTGTTGTTTAAATAATGTAGTATTTGTACCAAAATTAAGTAAAAACTTGCTATCGGTAAATGCAGTTACAAAATATGGGGGTGAGGTCATGTTTACAAAAGAAAAGGTACTAATAATGAAGAATAATAAAACCATCCTAGAGGGAAAGAAATGTCAAAATGGTCTTTATGTTGTTGATATAAAACCAAAATTGGAATGTCATCTAACTGGCAAAATTGAAAATGTGCAATTGTGGCATAGAAGGCTCGGACATTTGGGGCGCAATAATATGAAAAATATAATCAATATGACGAAGGGAATAAATTTCACAGAAAAGGATTGCGAAAAACTTGAAGAAATATGTGAAATTTGTGTAAAAACCAAACAAGTCAGGTTACCATTCAAGTCGGTAAGAAATCGAGCGACCAGACCATTGGAAATAATTCATTCAGATTTATGTGGTCCGGTAGATCCTAAAACGTGGGATGAGAAAAAGTATTTCTTAACTTTTCTTGATGATTATACTCATTACTGCGAGGTATATTTATTGGAAAATAAGTCTGAAACCCAAAATTATATACAAGACTTTATTGAAGAAGCTGAGGTTTTTCAAAATCTGAGAGTGTCAAAGCTTAGATGTGATAATGGTGGAGAGTATGCAAGTACAGAGCTGAAAAACTGGTGTAAGAAAAAAGGCATTAAAATCGAAAATACAATACCATATACCCCTCAGTTAAATGGTAAAGCTGAAAGGCTGAATCGAACATTGACAGAAAAAACGAGAGCTCTATTGTCAGATTCAAATATGTCAAAAGAAATGTGGGGCGAAGCTGTGAGAGTGGCAGCCTATTTAACGAACCGTAGCCCCTCGACAACGGTAGAAACAACCCCATTTGAGCAATGGAATAAAAGAAAACCAAATCTGTCAAATATAAGATCGTTTGGGTGTGATTCGTTTGCCAAAATCTTGAGTTATAAAAAGAAACTTGAAGACAGAAGCGAAAAATACAAAATGGTTGGTTATTCTTCACATGGGTACAGATTATGGGATGAAGAAAATCGAAAAATAAAATTAAGCAGAGACGTGATATTTGACGAAAGTACTCAAAAACAAAGTTTTGAATTTGATGATAAAGATGAAATAGAAGAAGTCGAAGATAAGAAAATTGAAGATTCAGAAGAAGAAAGTGATAACGATTTTTTTGAGGCAGGTTTTAATAATGAAAGTGAGAAAGAAATCAAAAAAGAAAGAGAGAAGAGACAACGAAGATTACCAGAAAAATTCAAAGATTACGAAATGGGTGAAGAAGACTTAGCTTTACTAACATTTGAAGAAGCAATGAAAAGTCAAGACAAGGAAAAGTGGGTAGAAGCAATAATAGAAGAGAAAAATTCATTAAAAGAAAATAAAACATGGGAGGTTGTAAACAGGAAAAAAGCGGAAAATAAGAAAATATTTTCAAACAAATGGGTTTTTAAGATCAAAGATAATGGAATATACAAAGCTAGACTCGTTGTTCGTGGTTTTGAACAGGAAAGGGGAATAGATTTTGAGGAAACATTCAGTCCAGTGATAAGCAGTAACTCGCTAAGACTTTTGTTTGCATTGGCAACAGCAAACGACTATAAAATGTACGGATTTGATGTTAAAACGGCATTTTTATACGGTAACCTAGATGAAGATATATTTATGGAATTGCCCCAAGGTTATAAAATAGAAGGAAAAGTATGCAAACTAAAAAAGTCGCTTTATGGCTTAAAGCAGGCTCCATTAAAATGGAATGAAAAATTTAGCATGGTTCTAAATAAAATGGGTTTAAAAATGATCAAATCTGAAAGATGCATATACAAATCAGTAGACAATAAAGTAATTTTGGGTATTTATGTAGACGATGGAATTCTAATGGGTGAAGATCGTGAAACTTTGAATAAAATTTTGCTTAAATTGAAAGAAGAATTTAAAATCCGCATAATTAATAATCCAAAAGTATTTCTTGGAATAGAGATAAATAAAACTGAAAATGAACTAACACTAAAACAAGAAAATTATGCTCAAGTTGTACTGAGTAAATTTGGAATGAAAGAAGCTCACGCTACAGAAACTCCGATTTGTCAAAATGACAGGAACATTGAAGCACAAAATGAACCAACGTTCCCATACAGAGAGGCTGTATTTAGCAAATAAAACCAGACCGGACATATCGTTTTCTGTGAGTTTTGAAAGTAGAAGCTTGAATAATCCATCATCGCAAGATGTTAAAAATGTAAAAAGAACAATGCGTTATTTAAAGGGAAGTTTAAATAATGGAATAAAATACCACAAGACTGAAAATACAAAAATATTAGAAGCTTTCTCTGATGCAGACTACGCTGGAGACTTAAATGATCGTAAAAGCACTACTGGCTTTGTTATATATTTTTGTGAATGTCCGATAGCATGGTGTTCACGTAAACAGCCTATAGTAGCATTATCAAGCACTGAATCGGAATATATTTCAGCTGCAGAATGCGTGAAAGAATTAATGCATTTAAAATCGCTACTAGAAGAACTATTAAATGAAGATATAAAGACGATATTAAATGTTGACAACCAAAGTACTATAAAACTGGTGAAGAATGGTATAGTGAATAAAAGAAGTAAACATATTGATGTTCGCTATTATTATATACATGAGAAAGTTAATGAGAGAAAATTGGAGATTAAATACTGCAATACAAACGAACAAATTGCAGATATCTTCACAAAACCTTTACCAAGAGAAAAGTTTCAAAAATTTAAAAAATTTCTAGTTCAAGAATGTGAAGATTAGTAGTTAAACTAAATGTTTAATTTATCTTGTTTTTTGAAAAGTTACCATTTGTTACATTATGGATTACGGGAAGGTGTTGAAAGAAATCTAATCTATAATGTGTGTTGGTGTCCATAGATGCAAAAACAGTTGACAGAATATAAAATAAATAAAACTGTCAGTCACTTGTAATTCTTGATAATTGTAATTGTATTAATCGAATAATAAAGATATAACTGGATTTCTCGTTTACTAAACATATTCAAAATGGACACCATATGGACGACTTTGTGCTCTATGGGTATAATGAAAGTACTCGTATGAATATAATAATTTTAGCTTTTGCTTCAGTTTATTGCACTGGTACTTGGATATTTAGCCATCAGAAGGCATTGGAAACGAAGTATTACGAGCAATTACGTAAATATGCTTGTTGGTATACCTAATTACACACTAAAAAATATTTACTTAGTCTTTATTTAATCCCATTTTGTCTGAATTTTACGAAAATAAGAAACTGTTAGTCTAGTCCACAATCCACACATCATCATTATATGTTAATAATTTATTATAGGTACTTAGGTATACTTTATATTGAAAGCACTCACTAAAACTACAACCTCCATTGCAGCTAATTTACGACGGAAATGTTTAAACGTTCACTCGGACAAATAGTCGCCACAATATTCGTCCGGCCGTCAGCTGTTCAAGCATAGCGCAAATAGCGCCCAGACAAATAGTATCAATTACAATTCGTCCGAAAGGCCGGACCAATATACACTCCCTTAAACTAATGTGATTTTATTTTATAATAATAATAGCCATTCCACATGTAGTTATGTTGGAAAAAGGGAGAGCTTCAAAATTATTTTTACAAATTAACATTTATAAATTAAATCAGCTAGATCCCTTTTGGATCGCTTCATAATAAAAAAATCTAGCCAGAAAGTATTGACTAAACTATTACAATAAATGTCAGAATATAACCCAAACATCACTTTTTTCCCAAAGCCTACTACAAAGTTTTAATGATAATATGAGATGTGTATGCTATGCAAAGTAATTTATAAATGCATTTTTCTCGAAAATTGTGCATCGATTCAAATTAAGAGCACCTACCTATTTTTTTGTAAAAAAATAGGAATATTTTAAATTTTAAAGAAGTTGGGGCTATTTTTGTAACTTTGCCCCTCCAAATGTTACGCCTATGATTAAATGTTAACAGTTTTGATCAGCATGTCAATATTACCAAAGTACCAAAAATTCATTTCTTTATGTTCAACGCTCTAGGAATACTTTAAAAAAATTATCCTCTTAGGCTACTATTCAGGGGGCCGTAGCTCCATTAGGGGGCGTTTTTTGATACATGTTTATTAAACAAAAAAGTGTTATTTTTCTATGAAGACTGCACTGTTTGGCCCCCTAATTTCGGGACACCTTGTATATAATAACTAATTATACTAACAAATATATAAAACTACATATATATATATATAGGTACCTACATAACTCGGAACTTTTGTTTTCATAAAATGTTTGGTTAAATGGTTGGGCACGGAACCACAGAATAAACAGAACAGTTCTTCTTCTTCTGCAAAATGTTGTGGCCTAGCTATTTGGCCAGCCCAGTGTTGCCATCTTGGAGAATTATTGACCATTTATCAGTGTTGCCAATGATGCACGGTTTGCGTGCGTTTTCATGCCTGACCGTGCATTTTGCGAACATCGTGAGAAACCGTGCCTTTTGCGTACGTTTTGAACATACGACATTAAAACATTAAAAAAAATATTTAAAATACAATTAGAAACTTGGCAACATTAAATAAAAAAAAAATGAAAATGCAAATAGAAACTTGGCAACTTGACATTGTGGGCGGGGTCAGCAGTACAATTTTAAATTTGCCGGTATTTATAGTGCGTAAGTCACAAAAAAGATGGCGTGAGTAAGCATTACTGGCATACAGACTGTATAGAATCAAGTAAGTAAGGCTGGAGACAAGGATGACAAATTATATTCTGATCAGAGAAAAAGAAACAAACTTTAATTGGGCGTGGTTTAAACCAAGCCATTCGTAATTATGAACCATAGTTGCCAGGTTGTTTTAAATCAGAAGAGAACGATTATAATTATTTAATAAATAGTTCAATTTTATTTGTTTGAAACTTTAAAAATAACAAATAAATAATAATATGTCAAAAATAATTTGATTTAGTTAATTTTCTTAATTTTAATATTAAAAAATAAGAAAAACAACCCTTTTAGGAAACAATAATAGCATATGGCAACAGCGCGGCATGCAGCCAGATACAAGGGCATGCAGTTTGATCTACTGTGTTTGTTCAGTATGTTCTGTGTTCAGTAGCTTCGACGCTGTCGTAGGGAAATGTGTATAGTTTTTAAGAATATACATTTTCGCGATTAACTGGAATTTAATAGATTTAAAACAATACCTACTTAGTTTTTATTTGCAGAAAGGCATTAAAACAAAACAAACGAATTCGATAAAAATAAAACCTATAAATTCTCAACAAAAATAATTCTAAAATTCAATCCCTACCACAGTGGGCGGGGTTTGGCACTTGTTTTATTTAAGTGAATCTATTCGTTTTAATACACACTGTATACTTACCACACATATAACGCTTATTCCCTATATTTTAAATAGATGACCTTGTTCCCGTTTTTAAGGGGAGGGTGGCTACTCTCTACCTTTTGCGCACGTGCAGTTCAAAAGTGGGAGATTAAAAAATCAAGAATGTTTGTTGGTTATGAATAAATCCAAATGTCAGTTTAAGAATTTAGGTTATATTAAAAAAATATTAGAAAACTAGTTTTAAAATGCGAACTGTTTTGCTGTAAACAATAAACCAAAAATGGTTTGTACTGTGACCAAAATGTTCGATTATAATCACCTTGGCAATAAGTCCTTGGGTAATAAAATAAGACGTAGCAAAATTTCTAATGCTAAAAACAATTTTATAAAATTGAAAAAATAATACTTCTTTTTATTATTAATACTTAAAAACATAATTTATTAATTCTTTATAAATCATGCAATATAAAATATTTTTATAAGCTTTATAATAACGAAAATAATATTAGAATATAATTACATCTGACAACACGGCCACACGCATGTGTAAAACTGCATAAGTAGCTAGCTCCTACTTTAACCCTTTATAGGGTATTGGGACGTTATTGTCCCACCCCTGCTCCTACAGAAGTCCTTTAGACGAGATGTGTCCCACCTGTTTTAGCAGATGCGTAGGACACTGTAGAGCAGATACCGACCGCTGAATTGCCTTAGTGTGACCGCAGTTTGATAGAGGGTGATAAAAAGTGCCAATGTGGGACGTATTTGTCCCTGTGTCCACAGGGAAGATGTTTTTTTAAATTATCACATTTCAAATTAAAAAACGGTTTGTTTATTCTCACCTAAAAAGTGCTTTACATTGTGCAGGTGTGTAGTGTTGTAAATTAAGGTAAGTTTAATGGATTTTTAATATTTAATATTGGCTACTTACTCGTACTTCTTATATTTCGGCCTTAGAAACATACAATGGCTCCAGTAACGATTTTTTATATAAAGTTTAGAAAAAAATTGCCATTAGTTTTAAATGATTAGCTGAAATACATCAACTTATCCTATTTCTACAAGGTTTTCTGTAATAATATCTACAAGTTTCAAAGTAATGCCTATTTCGGCTTGGAAGATATTTGACAAAATATAAAAATATGCGTAATAAGTCCACACACATTTTTAGAAGAGGTATTTATGTAGAGTTTTATTTGTATTTTATATGTTTTCTTATTTGTTTTTCATGTATAAAATAAATTTTATTTTAATTTATTTGTTTTATTATGCATTTTCTTGTTCATTTTATGTAGGTATACGCGTTTGGAAAAAAATAAAAGTTTTAAGTGGCTTCATTTCAAAGAGATGAAGAGCCCTTTGGGACAATATTATCCCTCCAAAATTTTGAGCTTAGAGCCTTTTGGGACAATATTGTCCCACCAAAAATTTTGAGTTTGGGGCAGGTAAAAAAAAAATTGAATGTACTATGATCAAACTGAACTTGTTTGTAAACTCCTCACCAAAGCTCATTGCAATATTTTGAATGCCACCCTTTTGCCCTATAAAGGGTTAACCCCACGAAACCCTGAATCAAAAATGATCTGTATATGTGTGGTAAGTATATGCTTACTGGGTAGAATCCTTCTACGCAGGCTCACTGAGCATGCGCCTAAGACACTCTAGTCACTAGAGTCTAGTAGAGAAGAGGGCATCTTTTTTTACTGCAAGAACATTAAATGTTAATAGGTATACATCTACGTAAATAGGTATAGGTAGTAGTATATAGGTATACCTATATATAGGTATACCTACTATAGTAGTACTACCGTAGTACCATAATGATTGAACAGTGATAGTACTGATTCATCTAAACTTACACCCAAATCACACCACATTAAAAAATTGTAGAAAATTATACGCCACTGCTCATTTATTATAGAAACAATATTTCTATGAAAATTCTTAAAAATTTAAAAAAATAGTACTTTTATAACACAAACAAAAAATACTGCGTGCAAAACTTGTGCATTTTGATTCCTGGGACCGTGCAAAACCGTGCGTTTTGAAGCACTTCACCGTGCAATTTAACAAATGTTCATTGGCAACAGTGTCGCCAGATGTAAAAGTTGAAATATCGAGTTGGGTTAATAAAATTATCGAATTTTCGGAAAATTATGTTACAATAATTATTATAATTTAATCATAAAAAAGTGAAAGAAGCAGGGTTGAAAATATTATCGATTTTTTGGAAAATTATAAAATTTGTTAAAAATACTATAAAGCTGGATATATGGATATATATATATATAGTTCAGAAAGTAGCTGCCCCTCGCATAAACACTAAACTTACAAGGCGAGGCTGTCAACTAAAAACTGCAATGTGATTGGCTGGAGTAGCGGTTGAGGTAAGAAAAGATGAAAGATGGTCATATCTTGCCGCTACGTTCTTGCCTCTACTTCCCTTACCGCTACCTCTGAGAACTATAAATTGTTTCATATAATATTCAATGCCCAACTTGGCTACCGCTACCGCTGCCTCTACCGTTACCTTTAGAACTATAAATACCGTACGGGAATCTATAAACAGCACTACAGTATTGTTGATCTTTTACGGCAGGAAGGAAGGAAATCTATAAATCAGGCTTTATGCTTAATTAAATTAATTAATCTAGATAGAATTAAGTTAATTTTGTCCAGATACTTGGATTAAAAATTATGTTACAATTATCGATTATGTTACATATAATTTTCAAGCTTTGTTTTTAGAAAAATTTATGTTACAATTCGATAATTATGTTACAAGTGGCAACACTGATTGGCAACACTGCATATACCTTTAACATAACCTATGGGTATATGCACAGACCACATAGACTGAACGTAAGGGCGATGCAGTTGAAGCCGGGTAGAGCCCTATAGAGGCCCAGCGATCGCGATTTATCTCAGTTATAAATCGACTACCGTGCTGTTCACGTCGTGATATTTTTTGTATTTATTTTAAAAACATGGGTAAATGTGTAGTGATAGGATGGGAAAATAGAACTGAGACCAAATACGACGAAAAAAATTATGTTAATTTCTTTATGTAAGAAGAAATTAAATATATAAAATTGCTGAAATCGCGCTCTCCTCCGCTATTAAATTGGCTTGCGTCGAGGAAAATCAGAGTTGAATTAGTAAATTTCGAGCCCAATTAATTTCGGAGAGAGGTCTTTTTGTGAATGCTTACCATTGTTTGTTGTATTTCATGTTTTTTATGTCATTAAGGTATATTTAAAATTCGTCGAGGAATATAAATACTAAATATATTAAACATTTCATGTAATAATAAAGTTTTAAGTTTTCATTCACTAAAAATATTCATTATTAATTGTAGTTTCATTGTTTTTATAAATAAATTGATTCATTGTTTTTGTAAATAAATTTATTTTTCCTAAAGATCTTTATTAAAAATAACTATAAAAATTTATTAACTCGATATTATTAGTTTGAAAGACATTTAAAATTTCAATATATTTTCTTTTCTTTATTGACTTCGTAAATTATTCATTCAGGCAAATGGGTTTTGCAAATCTGTACCTCAGAGGTAAACTGTAGTAAGTCCAATATTATCGAAAATGAGATATTTATAAAAAAAAATTACTTAGTACTTCGTTACCCACTAGTCAAGTAATCATAGATATTAATATTTAAAAACTAATGTCATGATGATCAGTTATTAAATGTAAGAACTAGAAATAATTATGAGTTTTAAAACATTTTTGACTTCTCCTGAACAATTTACTTAATACACTTTACCTCTGAGGTACAGGGTGATCCCCTATAACTTTAACTTTTTTATTTTAAGTGTCCCAAAAAATTTAAAAGTGTGGTTATGTAGGTACTAAAATATACTTTTTTCTATGTATAAGAAAATTGGAAAATTGATCAGTATACAGGAAAAAACAAAAAGTTTATATTTTTTCAATGCATATAGGTATAGGGTGATCTATGGATCACCCTATATATGTATTAATTTTTCGATTCCTTGTAAAATTCTAAGCATATTTCAAATAACATACCATTTAGGTACCTAAATTCAACCGTTTCTGAAATATTTAAAATATGATTAAAACATTTTTAACAATTGCAGAATTACTAAGCGCCAACTTTTAAATAAAGCCCTTTTGGTTAAAGGACAATAATACTATTTAAAATTATTAAAATATGTATTACCTAAATAAAATAAATTTTTAATTTATTATTATTTGGTTTTATTTATTTAATATAGAAATAGGCATTTAATAAAGGCAAGCATAATATATTTTTGTATTTATTAAAAAAATTATGAATAACAAAATTTGTTTATTTAAAATGTTTAAATATATATGTAGTTTGATATTTTAACAAATTATTATTGTGTACATTATTTTGCATTTATCTGATCATAATAAATATTAACAATACTAATTATAATTAATATATTAATAATGTATAAATATTATTAAATTAATAATGTATAAATATCACTTATATAATATAAAAATATTAAAAATAAATAAATTAAAAATCAATAAAACTCTTCTACGAGACATAAATCGTAAATAAACTGAAGACAACTCTGGTGAAAACATAGCCACGCCTTTCGCATTCCTTTCCCCGCACTCCGCGAAAGCGGCTTCACTTGATTTAATGATACGGAATAGGCATCGTTCAGTCTATGTGGTCTGTGGTTTGTACAGATGTCTGCAATTTAAAAATAGATATAGTTCAGGTATTGTAGAACTAGAGGGCAGTGGTGGGAGAGTTTCCAATCTATGGGGTGTATTATCTTTGACTAGAACTTTGAACACAATGCCAATCATAAAACAAATAACCTTAAACTGTTTAAGTCAAACAGCGTCTCTCTAGGGAATTTGTAGTAGGGTTGGTAACATAAAAGTTACCAGATTTCACCCCAGAATTGCCGTAAAACGGCAATAAAAATCCATCCGGACCGATTTTCGGCAATTGCAAGAGATTCATCGAAATGTATCTACCGCGCATGCCTACGGCAATTTTCATTGCAATTGCCGAAAGAATTGCCGGCTGTAATACGGCCTTTAAACATAAGCGGTAACACTATAAATATTATTTCTTGCATTGACTATACTTTGACAGATACATAACCTGAAAAGCCTTAAGTGCCAAATTTTCAAAAGACTGCGTTCCGTACGTGGTGGGACTTTGAGGTGTGGAGCATAGTACCTCAAAAAACTCTTTGTCCTTTATAAAAATTAAAAAAACTCTATACTTAACAAAACAAACACTACGATACAAACTAATTTTATAGATTTTTTAACTAAACAAAAAATATATATATATATACCTATATATTTTTAAAATTTTTGCGAAAAGAAATTAAGAAAAAAAAACAAAAATAAACTAAAAACCAGTTTTAAATTTAAAGAGTTCGGTCTCTAGAGTTACATTTAAAAATAATGTGGATTCGGTAACCGAATTTCGGTTACGGTTTCGGTCCACAAATAAATACCGGTTTCAGTCCTGTTTTGTCCAAAAACGGTTCGGTCCGGGTCCCTGATTATACCTAATACATATTATTAAAACTATATTAATAATAATAATAATAAATGAACTTTATTGCAAAAAAAAGTTAATACAATTTCTCACAAATATATTTTAAACATTAAATTCAAAATAAATTAGTGCAAAAGTTTTTTTTTGCATATTTGTTATTGGCATAAAATACCCCGAAGGGTTATTGGGTTGGTACAAGTTTTCTTTGGATTGGTATACCTGTTAGTCTTACCGTTAATTTAAAGTTGTATTTGTTATATGGTTTTGATCTGTGGTTTTGTTTTGACTTATTTTTACCCCGGTTTGTTTGGATTTTTTATATACAAAATCTATAATGAGTAAAAAAAATAACTTTGTTAATGTCTCAATACGAATTAAACCAGCTTTAAACAAGAATTTATCGAAATCTTCATGTTTACATGTTTTAAAAGATAATTTACCAGTAAGTTGTATTTTATATAAGTACCTAGTTTATTGGAGAATAGCTTATGTAGTGAATCTTTAAAAGTTATGTAATAATTGTTACATAAATCCATTAATTTGACACACAGCCTGTTTGTTTGAATCGGGATCAGGGGCCCATAAATAGGTTTAATTAATTTCCTATAACAATAAATATTAGTTATGGGAAATTCTACTAATTTAAGATTCTTCTGTGATCATTGTGTCCATAAAATATAAAAGTTTATTTATGCCAGATGTTAAGTGTGAAATGATCATAGCAACCATGGTACCAATGATCCAAAATTATCGTTTTTGAAATGTACGGTATGGAAAAAGGGTAGGTAAATACATTTTATGAAATATGAAATTTAATATGCTGTTATGTTTTTTACTGGAAGAGAAAAAACATATAATATTATATATAAATATAAACTGTGCTTTTTTACTGCTTCAAATACTTTACTAGAACACATTTTTTTATTTACTTGTTTTGCAAAATAAAATTTGGAACTAAATAAAATACATTTTTTTATGTAAACAAATCCTTCAGGGGGGTTACTTACAGTTCAGTCACCTCAATTTTTAGAAATCGAGCACTGTATACAGGGTGGTCCAGGATTAATCTGAAAATTCATTCATGATCGATAGAGCCTGAAAAAACAATAAAAACAAACCCAAAAACATTTTTTTTAAATGCATACTAACGGAGATATAGTCCTTTAAAATATTTTTTAAACCATGAAACCGATTCTTCTCAAATTTTGTGTAGGTTAAGCTTCTGTCGATAATATAATGAAAATATCCTACAAAAGGCCCAGTGGCGAAGATTTTGGGGGGGATTCCCCTTTTTACCCTCATATTTTCGACGCCACTGGATTTTATTAGAAAATCATCATATTTATTTGTATCCCTTTTCAATGTAAAAGCAAAACTTTTATGTTAATTTTTTATCAGATCAGTGGTTTCGGAGATATTTCAGTTTAAAATTTCAAAAACACTGATCTTATGAAAATTTAACACACAAGTTTTGCTTCTAAATTGAATAAGAAATCTGATGATTTTCCAATAAAATCCAGTGGTTTTGAAATATGGGGGTAAAGAGGGGAAACCCCCCTTTAAATCTCCGCAGCTGGGCCTTTCGTAAAAAAAAATACCTACACAAAATTTGAGCAGAATCGGTTTAAAAGTTATTTAAATAAACGTTTTTTTGCCTTTGAAGGGCTATTAGTGTGTTAGTGTGTATTTTTGAAAAATGTTTTTGGGTTTGTTTTTATTGTTTTTTCAGGCTCTATCGATTATTACAATTTTTCAGATTAATCCTGGACCACCCTGTATATATGTATATACAAGGTGTCCCTAAACTTATTGGCATAAATTTAAGAAAAGATTGAGCAAGTCAAAATAAGACGAAAACCTAAATAAATATTTTTCCTAATTACTTATGTTTCCAAGACACAGGGTGATAAAGTGTTACCTATTATATCAGTTTTTTTTTAATATAACTTCTACTATGGTAGTCTTGCAAACGTGATATTTTGCAAACAGTCACTTATTACCAAAACACATATTTACACATAATTACAATTGTTTGAGTGAACACAGTGTCGTAGAAATGGGGGTTGCTTTAAGCTTATTGTCCCATACAAACTTTGAGGTTAGGTTTTTATAACATTTGATAAAATTTTTCGATTACACAGTTTGGCTACCATTAAAAAGGTGTACCTCTCAAACCGATAAAATAAACCGTTTCCGAGATATTCGAGATTACAATAATTGTTAAATCGCATTATTTCAAAGGATTAAAAGGTATATGATAACAAATTTTATTTTTTAATTGAAAAAACTAAAAAGGGCATTCCATGAGCCTCGAGACTTTGCGATATAATCTCGAATAGCTCGGAAACGGTTTATTTTATCGAAGTTTGAGAGGTACACCTTTTTAATAGTAGCCAAACTGAGTAATCGAAAAATTGCATCAAATGGAATAAAAATCTAACCCCAAAGTTTGTATGGGACAATAAGCTTAAAGCAACCCCTGTTTCTACGGCACTGCGTTCATTCGAACAATTTTAATTATGTGTGAATATATGTTTTGGTAGTAAGCGAGGGGTCAACCACCCAAAGGGAAAACGTCCAGGGATTCCCATGTATTCCTATTATATTTTATTGTATTCCTATGTATTTCCATTGTATTCCTATGGTATTCCCCCTCTAAAATGTCCAGGGATTCCCAGGTGTGGGTGACCCCTCGGTAGTAAGTGACTGTTCGCAAAATATCTCCTTTCCAAGTCTACCATAGTTGAAGTTATATTAAAAAAACTGATATGATAAGTAACACTTTATTACCCTGTATCTTTTAAACATAACTAATTAGGAAAAATATTTATTTAGATTTTCGTCTTATTTTGACTTGCTTAATCTGCTCCTAAATTTATGCCACTAAGTTTAGGGACACCTTGTATATATACATAATTAGCGTGCAATACTTTAATAGAATATTCTACTTAGAAAAATAAGAAAAAAAGTTCCTATAAACATAGGTCAAGAAATGCTTTCTAAGGGAGATACAGTCCCTAAAAGAGGAGCCCCTGAGGATGGTTTTTATTTAATATATCCAAAACCGTTCAAGATATAAAACTGAAATTTTGGAAATTGATAAAACTTTTTATGGCTAATAAGATGTAGTATTAACAATTTCAAAATTTCCATGATGGGTGGTCAGATAGAGGGGTTAAAACCACCTCAACTTTTTTGTACGTGTCTTGTGCAAGAATTTGATATCAGATTATAAAATTTTGGAGTGTGTAAAATTCCGAAATTTCATAATCTGTTAGGGTGGTTTTATTTGTTTATTCCCTATCTATCTGACCCACCCCTCATGAAAATTTTGAATTTTTATTATTACATCTTATTGGCAATAAAAAGTTTGATTAATTCCCAAAATTTTACTTTTTTACCTTGAACGGTTTTGGATATATTAAATAAAAACCATCTTCAGGGGCTCCTCATTTAGGGGCTGTAGTTCCCTTAGAAAGCATTTCTCGGCCTATGTTTATAGGAACTTTTTTTCTTATTTTTGTACATAGAATCTGCTGTTAAAGTATTGCACGCTAATTATGGAACACCCTGTTTATATTAGGGTGCTTTTTTTACGACTATTTTATGTTTTTGCTCCTAACTCAAAATCTTGTAGAAAATGTTCAAAAAAATTCCCTGAAAATTTTAGCCCTTAATATTAACTCAAAGTAAACCAAAGCGTATAAAGATTTCCCATTTAAAATACACGTAAACTTTGATTATTTTTTTTAAATACAAAAGTTTACAAAAGTGCTCTTTCAGTTCCACCCTTACTTCCTAAGAAGTCCCAGAAGCCAACTGAATGGCTTGTGCGGGTTAGGGGTAGGAAAGGACCGCGGGCTTAAAGTCCCCTCCGAAGGACTATTACACAATAGAACACACATATAGCTATTTTCGCGGAGCTAATCCCGAACTAATTCCGGACAAAATGTAAAGTGCGTATGACAAATATTAAAATGCGCATGCCTAGGATGTCGGAACTAGTTCGGGATTAGCACCGCGAAAACACCTTATATCTCAGCCGCATTTTATGCTATTGGATTGTTTCAAAAAGGGATTTACTCGTAGTCAAAAGTTCTACAAAAATGCTTTATGTGCCATAGCTGTAATCTGCACCTGTAGGATGGTACGGGTCACTAAATCTTATTTTAGTGAAAAATTCTCATATTTTTTAAGATATTTCAAAAGTGACATGCAACATGTTATTTTATTAATAATTATGCTTGATTGTTTTAGTGATTTATTTTTCTCTAATCACCCGACTGTAGAAAAAACGTAATTACATGAAATTGTACTGATAAGCAATTGAAAATCATCATTTATAAAAAGTTTGGTACGAAAATCCTGAAAATTTCATAAAATCTTTTCAAAGAATCCAGTCACTTTTGAAATATGAGAATTTTTCACTAAAATAAGATTTAGTGACCCATACCATCCTACAGGTGCAGATTACAGTTATGGGACATAAAGCATTTTTGTAGAACTTTTGATTACGAGCTTAAATTCCTTTTTGAAACAATCCAATAGCATAAAATGCGACTGAGATATAGATATTTAAAAAAATAATAATAAAAGTTTACGTGTATTTTAAATGGGAAATCTTTATACGCTTTGGTAGAGTACTTTGAGTTAAAATGAAAGGCTCAAATTTTCAGGAAATATTTTTTTGAACATTTTCAACAAGATTTTGAGTTGGGAGCGAAAAAATAAAAATAGTTGTGAAAAAAAGCACCCTAATGTACAAGGTGTCCCTAAACTTAGTGGCAGATTAAGCAAGTCAAAATAAGACGATAATCTAAATAAATATTTTTCCTAATTACGTATGTTTAAAAGATACAGTTTTTTTAATATAACCTCTACTATGGTAGTATTGGAAAGGTGATATTTTGCGAATAGTCACTTACTACCAAAACACATATTCACGCAAAATTACAATTGTTCGAATGAACGCAGTGCCGTAGAAACAGGGGTTGCTTTAAGCTTATTGTCCCATACAAACTTTGAGGTTAGATTTTTATTCCATTTGATGCAATTTTTCGATTACTCAGTTCGGCTACTATTAAAAAGGTGTACCTCTCAAACTTCGATAAAATAAACCGTTTTCGAGCTATTCGTTATTACAATAATTGTTATATCGCATTAAAGGAATAAAAGGTAATAACACCTTTTTTAATTAATAAAACTACCATTTTTTTAATGTGACGGTCAGGGCAAAAAGGCCCGAGGCTCATGAAATGCCTTTTTTAGTTTTTTCAATTAAAAAATAAAATTTGTTATCTTATACCTTTTAATCCTTTTAAATAATGCGATATAAAAATTATTGTAATCTCGAATATCTCGGAAACGGTTTATTTTATCTAAACTTGAGAGAACCTTTTTAATGGTAGCCGAACTGTGTAATCTAAAAATTGCATCAAATGT